AAAAATGGAAACAAATACGATACTTATAACTAACATTGGAAATTGACATTTCTAGGGTACATAATGACAAAAGAGGGCTTGGAAAATTTGCTACTAACAGGCCAGATTAAAGGCAAGAGGGAAAGAGGAAAACAACCTACCTAACGCAACTGGATGGAAAAAAACCATTTAGGAGAGAGAAAGTAAAAAGGCAAAATTTACTAGGAGCTACAAAAGACTGGAAATTGTAGAGAAACATTCTCACCAACGTCTTGAAGGGTCACGACGCATAGAAGAAGAAGAAGAAGAAGAAGAAGAAGAAGAAGAGTGTCCGAATTGCTATTCGTCGTCAGACATCTCTGAGAAAATTCTGTAGTTAAATATTAGTCGGATAAATAGAAATATAAAGTTTGTCACTTAGTTGACTGATGTTACTTTCAACATCCCGAGTATAGAGTTTCGAAGACAGACCTTCCAACAATCATTCCGTCCACTCGTCAGGGATGATAAATTACTAAGATTTTTAAAAGTTTATTTTATATATACGGAGAAAGCTGTCAATTGTTTTAGATTTATATATAGAAATAAAATGCCTAATAAGTGCATACTTCATTTAATCCCACAAAACGATAATATCCTTTGTATGCTAATCTCGGATCATTTAATCCTCGCAAACGAATGAGTTAATCTCGATGCGGGACACCCTGCGTTGGCATGATGTTCTTGGATTTAAGGGTGCTGAAGGTAAATATTTTCTGAGTTGGAGTTATCTACTTGATAGTGAAGTTTCCAAACCTTAGAGTAACAGTGAAATGTAACCGCCTCTTCTACTCCAACAGCTTCTTCTCTTGCACTTCCCGACAGTGTAACTCTCTTCCTCTTATTTGCTTCCCTGATAACTATAATCTTCAAAAATTTAAATGTAATGTCAATCGATATCTTCTGTTGCTTTGATCTTCTTTTTATCCTTCTCCGTTCTTCTTTTTATCCCCCCCCCGTTCTTCTTTTTATCCTTTCCTCAACCTTCCCCCCATACCCAGTCTTTTCCCTTACTTGCACTCTCTGTAGCCCCTTGCGTACTAGTGACACTCCCGCCTTGCTTGGGATGAAATACTTAAAAAAAACTCCTAAGGGGGGCTGCTATCTGACCAGTGAGTCTATATTATCAAGGCTACTGTATTTTCATTTTGTGAACGGGATCGGGACCGTCTAGTAGTATCTGGTGGAGTCTCTCGTGGCCATGGTGAAATGTACAGTTACAGCTGTATCTCTGACAAGTGATCCACTTTGTTCTTGTGCATTCTGTTTGGAGATGGTGATGCTTCGTTACCATGTCTCTTCACTATTCTAATATATTTAATCATGTTCACAAAAAAAAATCAATCAATAAAAACCAACCCCATTCTGCAAAAAGAAAAGTAGGCCATAGATTCTCCATCTCCCATACCAATATAAGGATACATTTATATTATTGCCAATCGCGGAACGAGTCCCAGTTTGCGTGTTGATAACAGAAAGATATTCTGTTAGTATGAGGTTCATGGCTCGAGGGGGAAGGGAAGGTGATGTTTACAGACACTACTGCGTGATCAGAGTTGCCAAGAGGGCAGAGCTGCGTAGCGTGATAAGAATCAGGGATGGAGGTAAAACAAGACACCGAGAAGGGAAGCGTTACCGGCAGTGTTACTGGGAAAAACGCGTAGGAAGGTCAACCACTCGCGTGAGTGATTGAATGCTTGAAAAGTTAAGGGTTTGGATGCCAGCGAGGTCAGTGACAGAGTGATTAAGTCACTTGTACATGCTGCTTATTGCTAGAATATACATAAAAGAACAGTTTTTAATATTTTATTGCAACGTTTCAGAATTTGAGCTTCATCCCCAAGAGGCAAAATCGGACTTCATCTCTTTGTCTGGATCTGGTCTCAGTCTATCTATCCAAGTGCAGAAATCCACAATCCTGAGCTACTCGACCATAATCATAAAACAATCATAAAACGTATTGAACCTTGATTTTCCGATGCACCCCTTTGTATCAATATCTCCCGATTCTCCGAGTACCGTAAAACACTAGAGTGTACTGCAGCCATAACAGCTAGCTTGTCAGAGCACATACCTATTCTGGCAGGGTTTGGGATTCAGAGTTCTTCTCCTAGACTAGTTGCCACCCAAGGCTTAAATCTGTCCTGCTATTTAACCCATATCTTTTTTAATCGAATTTACCCCATGCAAGGCAGTAAAGTCACTAAGACACAGGGGGGGTTACTCTGTGTGAAAGAATTAGAAAACAGAAACATAAAGGAGCGAGAACAATTGAAGTGTAATTAAGAAGACAGTAGATAACGATTGACATTGCATTTAAATTTTTGAAGATGAAAGTTGGCTGGAAGGCATGAAGGTAGAAGAGAGTTTCACAAGCGAGAAGTGCTAGAAAAGAAACTGTTAGCATAGAACTTACGGTTAACTCTAGCCAATTCAACAGTAAATTGATGAGACCTTGTTGCCAATCTAGAACTGCGCTTAAATTGAGAAAGTCTAGGCACCATAGCGAAGAGCTCATCCGAAAAATTACCATGAAAGAATTTACAGAAAAGGCACAGGGAAGCAACTATAGGGCGGTGAGAAAGTGACTGAAGCTTAGACACCAGGTCAGTACCAATAATATTTGCTGATTCTACTTTGGATTTTATTAAGAATCTCTAAATATATAGCAGGAGCACCGGGCATTGTGTGGCAGCAATATTCTAAGTATGGACGAATGGTAGACTTATAGATATGTAAGATAGATTCTGGAGAGAAAAATTATCTAGCGCGACACAGTGATGGTAGACTTATAAATATGTATGATAGATTCTGGAGAGAAAAATTGTCTAGCGCGAAACAGTGATGGTAGACTTATAGATATGTAAGATAGATTCTGGAGAGCGAAATTGTATAGCGCGACACAGTGATGGTAGACTTATAGATATGTAAGTAGATTCTGGAGAGAAAAATTATCTAGCGCGACACAGTGATGGTAGACTTATAGATATGTAAGTAGATTCTGGAGAAAAATTATCTAGCGTGACACAGTGATGGTAGACTTATAAATATGTAAGATAGATTCTGGAGAGAAAAATTGTATAGCGCGACACAGTGATGGTAGACTTATAGATATGTAAGATAGATTCTGGAGAAAAAATTGTCTAGCGCGACACAGTGATGGTAGACTTATAGATATGTAAGATAGATTCTGAGAGAAAATTGTCTAGCGCGACACAGTGATGGTAGACTTATAGATATGTAAGATAGATTCTGGAGAGGGAAATTGTCTAGCGCGACACAGTGATGGTAGACTTATAGATATGTAAGTAGATTCTGGAGAGAAAAATTATCTAGCGCGACACAGTGATGGTAGACTTATAGATATGTAAGTTGATTCTGGAGAGAAAAATTATCTAGCGCGACACAGTGATGGTAGACTTATTGATATGTAAGATAGATTCTGGAGAGAAAAATTGTCTAGCGCGACACAGTGATGGTAGACTTATAGATATGTAAGATAGATTCTGGAGAGAAAAATTGTATAGCGCGACACAGTGATGGTAGACTTATAGATATGTAAGATAGATTCTGGAGAGAAAAATTGTCTAGCGCGACACAGTGATGGTAGACTTATAGATATGTAAGATAGATTCTGGAGAGGGAAATTGTCTAGCGCGACACAGTGATGGTAGACTTATAGATATGTAAGTAGATTCTGGAGAGAAAAAATATCTAGCGCGACACAGTGATGGTAGACTTATAAATATGTAAGATAGATTCTGGAGAGAAAAATTGTCTAGCGCGACACAGTGATGGTAGACTTATAGATATGTAAGTAGATTCTGGAGAGAAAAATTATCTAGCGCGACACAGTGATGGTAGACTTATAGATATGTAAGTATATTCTGGAGAGAAAAATTATCTAGCGTGACACAGTGATGGTAGACTTATAAATATGTAAGATAGATTCTGGAGAGAAAAATTGTCTAGCGCGACACAGTGATGGTAGACTTATAGATATGTAAGATAGATTCTGGAGAGAAAAATTGTCTAGCGCGACACAGTGATGGTAGACTTATAGATATGTAAGTAGATTCTGGAGAGAAAAATTATCTAGCGCGACACAGTGATGGTTGACTTATAAATATGTAAGATAGATTCTGGAGAGAAAAATTGTATAGCGCGAGAGAGTGATGGTAGACTTATAGATATGTAAGATAGATTCTGGAGAGGAAAATTGTATAGCGCGACACAGTGATGGTAGACTTATAGATATGTAAGTAGATTCTGGAGAGAAAAATTATCTAGCACGACACAGTGATGGTAGACTTATAAATATGTAAGATAGATTCAGGAGAGAAAAAATGTCTAGTGCGACACAGTGATGGTAGACTTATAAATATGTAAGATAGATTCAGGAGAGAAAAAATGTCTAGTGCGACACAGTGATGGTAGACTTATAGATATGTAAGTTGATTCTGGAGAGAAAAATTATCTAGCGCGACACAGTGATGGTAGACTTATAAATATGTAAGATAGATTCTGGAGAGAAAAATTGTCTAGCGCGACACAGTGAACCGACTTCTTTTCAGCAGTTGACCTACCAATGAAAGGTTAGAAGAGACAAACATACCTTTCCGAAAGGCATTTGTGCAAAAATTAACGCAACAGACTTGCCCTCAATTTGAACTCGACGATTTTAGTTTCAGCGCAGATATCCTTCAAATAATAACTGCACATCATATGTCTGTGTTTCAACTGAATATAAAGAAGTGATCTTGTTAAATTGAAAAACTAGTATTGTCGTTATTTTCCTTTTTGGTCAGAATGATTAGACGACCCGACTTGACTATTTAGTTTATTGAGCGCTCCATAAATATAGTATTGTATAAAATTTTCTCTCTTCGAATATACGAGATATCTGAAAATGGAAAATTACTGATTCTTAATCCAAGCAAAGCACCGTTCTGAATAATAATTTCTATGTTTTCTTTCGACAGAATACTCAACCTAAGAAATCTGAAATGCCGGAAGTGTACTACAAAGATCCGGATGGCCATCATGTACTCAGCTATGACTACAATGGATACCTGGTGCCGCCTTTCCCAAACGTCGATGAACGGTTGGACAAATTACCTAACATGTCCATTCGAGACGACGACATTATCCTTTTGAGTTATATGAAATCAGGTTAGTCGCTTAATTAAGTATAGTTTGTTCGTCACTGGGTGTCACATGTTGCATTGTGCTAAAATAAACTAAGCTTAGTAAATAATACCCATGGCTTTTAAAAGAAAAAAAAGAGAAGAAAATACTTCGAATGTTGGTTTTTCTAGACAGGCAGGCCTTTTCAAATTGGGAGACTAACGCATCACAATTTTGCTATTCATGTTTAATCATATGACATACTAATCTCAGTTTAGTAAATGGGAACGACCCACATTTCTAAACTCTAACCAAATATCCGAATTAAGAACAATCCCTTTTTCGGACAGTAATTTTCTGTACCACTCCTAATATAGTGACATGGATACCAACTGATCAGATTTTGAAAACGTCATATACTTATTTGTTAAGGCCCATAATACATATACTAGTCATCCCCTGTCTGTTAGTAACAGCTGCATTAATTTTTTACTATGGACATATATGGCAACACTATTCAATGCATAGACGAATGGTAGTTTTTTAGATGTGAAAGATGGACTCAGACGAGAAAAACCTTCTGGCACAGAGTACCAACCTTTCTTGCGATAGATGCAGCTATTGATTGAATGTAGTTGTTCTATCTCATGCTGATAGGGAGCAGGAAAATGGTGGTTAAATGAGAGTAGTTTCGTTTTGGAGGCATTAAAGTTTAGAAACCATTTCCTGTCCCTGACTGGAGGTCCTTTTCGAGACCAACGGTCAGGTTTACTATTGGAACAGGATTAAATGGTAGTGTCGTCTGCATAGATTCCTACTTGAGAACTGATGACATCAGGAAGATCATTGATGAAGATCAGAAACAGTACAAGGCCAGCATCCCAAAACCTGTCAAATGCCTCAGAGATATCTAGAGCCAGAGCTCGGACTTCATTGTTATCATCAAGAGCTTGGTATATATATATTCAGTTATGGCCATATACACATCAGCAGTAGACCGGGCAAAGCGGAAACCATATTGTTTTTCAGAAAAAAAAAAGATTATGGGAGGTAAGATGCTTAACAACTTCGGTATTGATTAAAGCCTCGAAGACTTTGCCGAAAACTGACAGGGCAGTAGTTAGAGGGGTCAGAAGGGTCTCCAGCGTTTTTAAAAACAGAGACGACAGAGGATGTCTTCCAACTGGCTGGAAAGCAAGATCCAGAAAGGCAATACTGCTGGTATTTCGTCATTACCAGTTGCTTTATGAGAGTCTAATTTAGAAATAATGTCCGAAACCAGTGACGGGATTATGCACATATCACTCAGCAGAGCCGCCTTAGTTCTAGGGAGGAAATCAGCTGTGGGCATTCCGGATGGATCGAGTGTTGAGTTGAACGAGAATTTCCGAGCAAAGCATTCAGCCTTATCTGCTGTGGATGTCAGAGCTTCGAAATGATTGGATAGACGAGGGATTGAGGATTTGCTATTGTTAAGAACACTCTTGCAGAGCCACCAATAATCTCTAGAACCAAACTTGCGATATGCAATACGTTGCTCCATTCTATCAGCAAACAGCAACTTTGATTCATTGAGGACACGCTTGAACAAAGAGACTTATGTTGAAATCAGACATGTCGCTCCGATACAGACAGAAGAAGTGATTCCTGTGGGCGATAGCAGCTGAGTAAGCAAATGAGAATCAAGGAAATGAGCGTGATTTAACTTGGTATTTCTTCGCTGGAATGAAAGCATCGATGCCGGCTTTTACCCAGGAGGAGACCTTAGACGCGTATTTTTGAACGGCATGATTAAAAACTATGTTCCAAGTGACGTCGCGAATGAAATCACGGAACGAGTCCCAGTTTGCGTGTTGATAACAGAAAGATATTCTGTTGGTATGAGGTTCATGGCTCGAGGGGGAAGGGAAGGTGATGTTTACAGACACTACTACGTGATCAGAGTTGCCAAGAGGGCAGAGCTGCGTAGCGTGATAAGAATCAGGGATGGAGGTAAAACAAGACACCGAGAAGGGAAGCGTTACCGGCAGTGTTACTGGGAAAACGCGTAGGAAGGTCAACCACTTGCGTGAGTGATTGAATGCTTGAAAAGTTAAGGGTTGGATGCCAGCGAGGTCAGTGACAGAGTGATTAAGTCACTTGTACATGCTGCTTATTGCTAGAATATACATAAAAGAACAGTTTTTAATATTTAATTGCATTTTCTTTTTGTTAGATATATATTATAATGTTTTACTATGTAGATATCATTCCAAAATTAAATTTGTACGGTGTAGATATTTTCCTTGTAGATAATAAGCCAATGTAGCACCACCCTCACTGTTATATATATATATATATATATATATATATATATATATATTTGCTACGACTATCTCTATCGCAGTTCATTAACTCCACCTAGTTTTCCTGAGTCAATTTTTCGGGAATTGATGAGATTTGCCACGTCATCCGTCGAATTCAGTTTCAACAATACTATGTACCGACAGATCGACGGAGTCGCTATGGGCTCGCCTTTGGGTCCGGCACTTGCTAACATATTTGTTGGCTTCCAGGAAGAAAAGATACGAAAGAATCCACTTTGTCCTCAACTGTACTGTCGGTATGTTGATGACACCTTTTGTTTATTTAACGGTGAAGTTGAGGCTGACCAGTTTCTTTCGTTTTTAAATGGTATCCATCCGGCACTGAGGTTCACTATCGAAAAAGAGTCTAATCATCAATTGGCTTTTTTGGATGTATTAGTACATCGTACATTAACAAGTTTTCTTACTTCCATTTATAGAAAACCTACTTTTGCAGGGTTATACACGCGTTGGGACTCTTTTTGTCCCACTAAACGCAAGATCAACATTATTAAAACCCTCCTCCACAGAGCATTAAAGATTTGCTCTGAGCCTTTCCTGAACGACGAAATTAACTTTATTAAGGATACCCTATGTAATTTGGGTTATCCTCTTGATACTGTTAATTCAGTTATCCGGAGTAAAGTTGAAGAGTTCAGAAGTGCCGATCTCTACACTGTCAAAAAATGCCCTGTTTACCTTACATTACCCTGGATTGGTACCGAATGTGAAAAAATAGCCAAGCAAATTTCATCAAGGTTCGCTATTGCTTTTTTTCTGCTGAAGTTCGGATTATTTTTCAAACTCGGCCTATGTTTCGACCTGCGTGTAAAGACGTTCTCCCTCCTCACCATATTTATTCAATTGTTTACAAATACGTTTGTAGTTGCGGAGCCAACTACATAGGGAGAACAACTCAGCGCTTAAACATTAGAATAAAGCAGTACGTTCCTACTAAAATCAGAAACAACACCTTGCCTTTGAATGGACTCGTCCCGAACACCTACAGTTCCGCCATATGCGAACATCTTTTAAATAGCAGAGATTGTGCTGCCAAATTTAGTGTTCACCGTGTTGGCCCGGTCACACTCTGTATTTCATCTGAAGGTTCTAGAGGCGCTTTACATCGGGTCCCGCAAGCCTTCTTTGTGCAAACAACGTGAGTGTTTGCTGGGACTCGCTGTCATCTGCCTCTAGTTCCTTCTTGCATATATACAAATATATATGTATATATATATTTTTTTTTCCACCTATTCTTATTGTACATTTCTCTGTTTTAATTTTGAATCTCCCGTAGAAGCCTGAAGAGCGGGACCGAAACCGGTTGCTCCCCCCCCCCTTGTTGTTGAGTTTTTTTTTAATTATTTAATATTGTTTTAATATGTCTTGTAATATTAAATTTTATACTTTTATTTCGATCATTAAATTTTTTACCTACAAAAATATCTTTAAATATATATATATATATATATATATATATATATATATATATATATATAATCAATAGAGTGAATGAAAGTTGTGATATATTTATTTAATAAATACAATTTGGTATATATATGTAATCATTAAATTAATATAATTTGAGCTATTTGTTTAGTAAATACTCCCAGCTATACATATAATCATTAGACAGAACGAAAGTTTTTTTTATGTATTTGTTTAATAAATCTTATTTGTTATATATGTAATCATTAGAGAATGAATGTTTAATGGGGTTTATCTGGTAAATCCTGCGTTTTATATAGGTAGCAAATAGAGAATTAATGTTTTGACGGATTTGGTTAATAAAATTCTACTTATAATATTTGTTTCAATTAGAGAAAATGACAGTTTTGATGGATTTATTTAATAGATTTCCCCTGATATATATATATATATATATATATATATATATATATATATATATATATATATATATATATATATATATATATACCGTAACATCAAAATTATCTAAGTTTTAATTTGAGCAATAAGAATCTATAGTTACTCTCAGAAGAATCGTGATGAAATCTCGATCATGAACGAAGATGATATGTTCATCATTAATTAATCAAAGCTAAGGATCGGAAGCTCATGACTGATTGAAATAAAGTTCATATATATATATATATATATATATATATATATATATATATATATATATTATATATATATCCAGGATCATTTTCCAACTTATTCAAGATGGTTTTCGCCCTCTCTAACCTTCTAACTTTCTGTCCTAGAGTAACAAGGTGCCTCAAACGTTTCACGTACGATTTCAAGTCTTTTTTTCACTGCTCTTTGGACTATGAGCTAGAACTCCTCTCTCACAAGCCAAACGTCTTATGGATTGAGTTGGATCTTTTCTATTTAGAAGTTGAAATGATGATCCCTCTTCCTGGTGTTACCTCCTGATCCACTTTTCCTCTCTACTGTTCCCTCTTTTTTAAAATTATTCACTGTTTTCTTGATAGTTCTTGAATGGACATTGAAGATGGAAGTCAGATCATGAATGTTGTTACCATTACTTGAAGGTCTGAATGATCATTTTCTTCTCACTATTGCTCAGTTGAAAAGACAGTAGGTCTGACACAAAACGATTTTAACCTGATCTCTTTCTAGGTAAATAACTCAAAAAATTTATATATATATATATATATATATATATATATATATATATATATATATATATATATATATAATCATTAGAATAACTAAAATATTTCATGCATCCTTTTAATAAATTGTTCCTGATATATATGCAATCATTAGAGTGTTTTTTAACAAATTCTACTCTTAAATAATATTAATTTCTATAAATTTTTAGTATTTGTCCCTGTTGTAATAATTTTTTAATGGCCTTATAATTATGCACTAAACGTTTTTTGAGTTTTTTTTACAATAACTGATTTTCTACTCATAGTAATAATTTGAAACTTTCAGATTATTAGTACTATATAATATTATACAGAATATTAAAAAATTAGTTCAATTTTTAAAGTTTAAAGATAAAATTCAGCTTGCCTTATAATTATGCACCGCACTATATATATATATATATATATATATATATATATATATATATGAAGAAATATAGTTTTAAGGTGTGCTATATTTATGGAATAAAGTGCTCAATATCATAGCTACAGCGTATGTAAATATAAATATAAAAGAAAACATTGAAGTCAACACTCAGAGGCGACAGGCTGTTTCATGCTAGACGCAATAGTCATGCCGCACCAGTCAGTGCGGCCTGACGATTGCGTCTAGCATAAAGCAGCCTTTCGCCTCTGAGTGTTTTCAATGCTCACTTATATATATATATATATATATATATATATATATATATATATATATATATAAGTGAGCTACATAATCTTATCCAATATACAATATAATTCAGGTATTGATAATTCATGAATTTTAAAACAAACAAAAGTAATTATTTCCATTTCTATGTTTCTTCCAGGATGTCATTGGGTTTGGGAGATTTCAAATATGTTGCGACGTAATTGCACTGAATATGAAAAGAACCTGAAAGATATCGGGATGCTTGAACTAACCGATCAAGATGTTATCGATACCCAACCTTCACCACGTGTTCTCAACAGTCACATGTTGTTGGAACACTTACCCCGGGAATTACTGACCAAAAAGACAAAAATTCTCTTCGTAATGCGGAACCCACGCGACATTATCGTATCGTCCTACCATCACATCTTCCAGATGCAAAACTTTTATAAATATGACGGAAACTGGAACAGTTACTTCGATCTCTACATGAAAGGGCAAGGTCAGTATTAATTAAATTGGCATTGTTACGTGTGAATTAAGTTGATTATTTTTGTTGTTGCTTTTATTACTTAAACTAATCCAGACTAAGCGCGCCCAATCAATGACTCTGAGAACGATACCGTTGTGAGTTTTAAACTCCTGGTCGGGCCACCCTTGGCGGCAAGGTCGAAAACGAGGATCCAGGCTAAGCGCGACCAAAGACGGTGGAACAAGTGGATGACGATTACAACAGATCTCAACGGTTGAACCATCGGATGAAGAGGTCTACGCATTATGGACATGCTACAGAAGGCGCCACTCGAAATTATAACACAATCAGCGACAGTCCGTTGCAGTTTCATAACTGAATTCTGCACGTCTCATTTCATATGTGTCTCAGAGGAAGATCGTGAAATCAAGTGTCTGAATCAATTCCTGACAAGTTGAGGTCCACCTTAACAAATTCACGCCATTGGCCCTTTTTTCTACTCTGATTTTGTTTCACCTCCAGCCAAATCTTGCAAAGCCAAACGGAGATAGTGAACGGATGACGAGAGCAGATTTTGGCGAAATTGGAAGCTTCTAGTCCTGAACCTGCATGTTGGCGGCGAATTTCGTCATCGACGCCATCATCATAAAGGAAGCAATCCGTAAAAAATTCTTGGATACGATGGCGACGACGACAACGATATTCAAAACGCAAGCAATGATATTAATGTTGATTGCTTCTCTTTAGGCTTTGCATTTCAAGGAGAAATTTTAAAAATGGATCAAGGCTTTTTAAAAACGTATACTTTGAAGAATATTTCTAGCCTAAATGGGTGGCATTTTGGATCTAAGAAGCAACGACGTTATAAACATTAAAAGGCAAACAATTAGGTGGATTTGAAATATTACCTTATTTAGAATTCTCATAAAAATAATGGAGATATATCTACACTACCAATTTCAGCTTATTCTGCATAAAGCTAAGTAGTGTCAAGACTTGCTGATGGTTCGTTTTTCAAAAGACATTTCTCATCGTATATTTAGTGAATTTCCTTACTGCCGACGGCAGAAAATGTTTACAGGCTTAATAGAAACTTTAGGTAAAGACTAGCAGCATGGCCCGGCGTTGCCCGTGCTTGATTCAAAAATCGTACTATCACTTGACTTAAAATATTTTTGCCCTTCCTGGCCTTTAAAGGAGTGCCCTTTGCCGTGCTGATGTTGCTACATGCCTTACTTCTTGCCTATCTCACACTGCGAATTTTTTCTAAGCTCTATACTAAATATTAAATTTGTTACTAAAAAAGAACTAAACAAAATGAACATAAAACGATCAGCTTTAAAAAAGGACTCGTAACTGGAAAAACCGAATGAAAAAAGAATGTTCACAATAAATACTTTTTCACACCCAACTCAATTCTGCGGAATCAGAATCAATGTTGAGTTTAAACAAGCGAATGAGCCAATTGGAGTAAAGTGCCATGCAGATTTAAATTTTTTCCAATTGTAACGAATGCAGCTATCGATTTTTTTTGCATGCTAGCATGCTAGTTAATATTCGTGTCAGTCAGCTGTTGGCTCTCACGCTGCCTATTCGTGGCAGCCAGCTATAGGCTCTCACTCTGGTCAGTAGAAATTGGCCGCAAACTACATGAAAACTGCCGTAGAAGCATGAAAAAATCGATTATTTCCACTATCGATGGGAGTTGGGAAATGCAAAGTCGGTCTTGGCTTTCCCGCTAACTTGGAGCATGTGCATGTAAATTTTGGTGCAAATCCGTCGAAAATTGCGGCCGTGCATTCGTTACACACACACACACACACACACACACACACACACACACACACACACACACACACACACACACACACACACACACACACACACACATCCTGCCTTTTATAGATAGAGATGCTGAGATTAGAACTGACGCAATTCTGAGAATAGCACCGTCTGTGCGAATCGCCATAATTAAAATGGGCCGAGATGGTCGCTGTAATAGTACCTTATCTTTTCTGCGCCTCGCTATAAAAAAAGTAAGTGTAGACTTTTTCCTTTCCCTACGTATTGCTCATCTGAAGAAGTCTTTGGAACATGGCAACCGAAATGATGTGGTAGCATGGAAAGTAACGCAATGATTCAGTTCAACAGTTCAAACAACACTTGCGATCGTAATGATTTTTCTCAGAATTATAATGTTTTTTATTCAGTGTTCGTTTTGTTTATTCAAGATCTTCTTGTTCAGTATATTCACGGGTTCTTTAAAGTTTTTTTTATTCATAATCAACTCAGCCTACAATTAAATGATGAAAAAACTTACGTAAAATGATCGTGTATCATAGACAAGTCGAAATGATAAATAATAATCCTATCTAAAAATCTAAACAGTAAAGCATGCTTATAAAACTTTTCTTTAAAGTTTGCATCTTATCATCTTCCACGCAGTTAAAGTAATTACTGAGGAGATAGATTTGCCTAGTGGATAAAGTTGAAGATATTGTAGCGATGAAAGTTTTATTTCGGGGTGCTGGTAAAATGGTTAGATAGAATAATTGTCGAAAGGATGTGGCAGGAGTTAAATAATAAAGAAATCTAAAATATATGAAGTTGGTCAAAAAGTATCAGGACTAGCGCTATAAAAAGAAAACTACAACACATCGAATCTCCTTTGTAATAGTCTCCTTCTGAAGCGATACGCTTTATCCAGCATCGTTTACATTGATGGAAGCATTGATGGAACTCATTTTTTCTGGAATAGCAAGGAGCTGCCTTGTTACTTTCTCTTGGATTGCTTTGTTGCGAGGTAATCTTGTTCCATTCAAGTAGGATTTGGTTTCTGAAGAGGAAAAAGTCGCAAGGGGCGAGATCTGGGTAATATGGTGTTTGGAGGACCTGGGAAATGCACAAACCATGGTCACTGATGGAACCACTGTGGTGTGGTGAGACGATCACACACTACACTTTTTCCTTCCAAGTACTGTTGTAAACAACGGAAATGAACGAGAACGTTATAACTCCGTGTAATAGAACGCAACAGAACTCAAGGTCAAACTGTGACAAGCGGATTCACTTTACATACTTTAACTCTGTTACCATAGCAACAGGCCCGATACTTTTTGATCACACCCCCTAATATCTCCCATTATTTCAAATAATATTTCCACCGGCATGCTATTTATATTCCATTGTATCTGTAGATCTCACCTACGAACAATTGACATTCGTGTTTAGTTCGTTCACTTCGCTACCGAATGTGACACAAGGTCGAAATTTAAAGTGGGAAAAACGGAAATACCGTGGAAAATTGCCCAAGCCTCCTCCAAAACTTCCCCTTTCGGGCACGCCTCAGGTGCCGGACAATAAATCCAGGCCCTCCCGAAGGAGCGGTATTACCTGTAGGGAAGACCACCTATGGCCAGAGCTTAATATTTTTTTAAAAACTTTCCCGCATAGGTTTTTGCCGACATCAGGTGTTTAGTGCTAATGTCATCAAAAAAGGCAAAACGTTTGGTGAAATATTTTTTTTGCCGTCTCTTTTAAGAAACACATCATTTTCGAAAACAAATCGTTTCTGCTACCTTTCACGAATCTTGAAGTAGTCATTTTAAACACGATCCTCATAAACAACTGAAATATTTTTTGAATCGATAATGCAAATTTAATAAATGTTTTATTTTATAATATGTTTATAAAGGGTGTTCCAATAACTTGGACCGATTTTAAATGTGAATTAAGTTTAAGCGTCTAATGATATTTTCTTTTTCTTTCAGATTTAAGTGTTTGGCAATTTCAACCATGGAAAGATTAACAATCAAACAACGTTTTAAAGTTTCAAGAGTTCAATTGGGAAAATTGTTCGTAAATTCAAACTAACTGGGCCGGTGGCAGGTGTGAAAACACCAATGCGTGTTCGTTTGCGCCGTTCACCTGATAACATTGCTGCAGTGTACGAAAATATGGCCGAAAATCCAGACACCTCTGTTCATCATCGCGCACAGGAATTAAACCTCTCCACAACAATTTTACATCATTTCCAATTGCACCTCGGTTGGTCGATTATGTTGACCAAAATAAGTGCTCGAAATGCATTTCTGTTTGAACGTCCATTTTCGTAATAGGCTTCGATAACTTTAACACGTTCTTTGATTGTTAATCTTTCCATGGTTAAAATTGCCAAAAGCTTAAATTGTTAAATCTGAAAGTAAAAGAAAAAAATCATTAGATGCTTAAACTTAATTCACATTTAAAATTGGTTCAAGTTATCGGAACACCCTTTATAATCTCTGACGGAACGTGCGGGTTTCATTAACCAAATACATCCAAACTTCAATTCTGTCTAATGATTACATACACTATAGTTCAAAGGTTTGAATTCCTCCCCAGAATTAGCATGAATTGATGAACTTGACAGAAGATTGATAAAAAAAGGTGCTAGACTCATTGAAAAAAGAATGAAATCAATTATTAAACTTTGAGAAACTTTGAAACGAATGCCAAAAATTTGTGCTGCAGTAATCAAGAGACTAAAAGACGATAGTTTAATGCGAGCAAAATTTAATCATAAGATGCTTTTTTTCCTTTTGTCATAATAAAATTTCTAATAAAAATCATGTCCGCTTTTTTTAACCATATATAATAATTTTCTCTTATTTAAAGTACAAAACTACTTTTGGGGCCAATTTAAAAAAATTACCAGAGGTGGCCTCAGACTTTTGAACTGTGGTATATATCGCGACTTTTATTATTTCAAACATTATTTTTAGTGGATACTTGTATGCTTACGGCTCCATCACGTTGAAATACCGGTTCGATTATCAAAGTTAAGCAATGTCGAGCCTGATCAGTAACTAGATGGGTGACCGCTTGGGAATGCCTGGTGCTGCAAGCTTGAATGTGCGGGTGGTGTTATGGATGACGGCTTTGAATTGTTAATCAATGAACCTAGTTCTAATTCCCGTTTGCTTCGTATTATTTACTTATGCTCAAACTTGTGAAATGTACGAATCTACATTTTCTCCCCCAGATATGAGTTAATAAAACCTGTATCACTGAAACATTATTATTTTAAAAAAAATCTTAAACTCTAAAAATATTTTTTGGCTTTAAATAACCTGCAAAGTATTGATAAGCCGTAGAATCAATCAATCAATTGTATTTGAGTAGATGCTCCGTTTTTGTAAACAATATTTATTCTGTCTACTGACTTGCACATTTAAGAATACTTAATAAAGGAAATGTGCTCTTTATTCTCTTTATTGAGTTCTGTCGAGTGCGAAAGTCAGTAGACGAAATAAATATTGTTTTCAAAAATGGAGCGTTTACTTAAAAACGGGTATACAGTAAAAATAACAGTTAAAATAAAGATATAATGGATTAAAAAATAAAATCCTTTCTTTAGAAATATGTCATGATATTGTAAATGCTAAAATATGCAGGAAAAAAAAACAATGTTAATATTTCTATTATTTTGTGCGTAAATGAATCGAAAAGTTGATAATTTAATATTTATCTAAGTTCATCATAAATCAAAATAGCAATTTCAGAGGCGTGGTAGAAAGATTGAAATGTCAATTTTCTTTCACATCACAGAAAAATCTATAATAGCATAATATTACAATAAGATACGCAGATAATACGTTGATGACAGACTCAGAGAATAACCACGGGAATTCTAAGACAATGTAGTAAAGGAAAGCAGGAAGAAAAGACTAACTATCAATTGTAACTGAATTTTATTCTTCTCCCTCCAGCTATGGATAAATAGCAGGACGGATTGGGTTCTATGTCCTTGGATGGCAACGGGTCCAGGAGATGGACAACTCTAAAGTCAAAACCGTTTGGGATCCTTTTAGTCGGCCATTCAAAAAGTGTGGATGGTTCTGCACAAAGCCTTCACCACTATAATCGAATCTCGTGCTGGTGTCTGGCTGTCGGTTCCTAGGAACTGAGCTGCTTGACCTTCATACATCGAATACGACGGGAGAGTCGAATAATATACATACACACACACACACACACACACATATATATATATATATATATATATATATATATATATATATATATATGTGTGTGTGTGTGTGTTTTTCATATATTTTTTCTATTTGCAACTTTTCTTTAAAAAGTCTTATCTCTAAGTCTTTTGCGAAAAAAAAAGATTAGTCAAACTCTAACGAAATGTATTAATAACATTTTTTTTTCTTCTGAAAATTATTTTAGCTAGCGCAACTTAAAATGTAAAGTAGGTACCTCCACAAAATCGCCAAAAAATCAGTATACCGTGAGTCAAGCATGCTCGAAACAATGAAAACATAATTTTATCGTTAAAATCTTTAAGTTATTATTGAGAGGAAGGATCAAACAATTTTTTGATTATTTAATTAAATTTTTTACTTTCTTTTAAAAAATTTGAAATTTTGATTAAAAATCTTGTTTTTCTTGCGTTGGCGAATGTACTTATTTTTTTTTTTTTTTGCGGTGACAGACACATTAATTTTGAAATTCTTGCAAAAATCAAATTGTCGGATTTTAATGAAAGTTTCAAGATTTATTCATAAATGAATGAAATTATTTTTGGAATTTATTTTTATTAGAAAATCTTGGTAAAAATATTTTTTTTACATGTGTTTCAACTCTTTATTTAATCTTATCAAAACTTGAGAAATTCAGCGTGATAATTTTTTAGTGACTATATTAGTTATAATTTTTAGTGACTATATTAGTTATAATTTTTAGTGACTGTATTAAAAGCAGAATTATTTGAGGAATTTAAATCACCGATTTTGTTTTTTAAAATCGGTTCGATTTAAAAAAATAACAAAAAAACAATCGGTCTTCCTACTGAAAATCTGCTCAGAATAAAAAAGTAAGAAACGCAATAAAACTAAAGACATTATTGAATCAGATAAGCTTTTAATTACTTTTATGAATAAATATATATTAAGGACAAAAAAAGAAATTGTTTTGAGAGAAAAAAATCGCTGAAAAATGAATTTTTATAAAATTTGTTTTAATTTTTCAATAATTTATAATATTTTGAAATATTTTGAAATTCAGTTTCACTTAAAATTCAGTTTCATTTTAGAAAACATTGCTAGTAAGTAAAAGTATATTTACTAATCGTATAGCTTATTACAATCTAACACTATCGAATATTGTTAAAAGAATTTTAAATTGTTTTTGTATGTGTACCGAATTTTATAGATATGGTCGCCCATACAAGACACTATCAGAAAATAAGACCAACACCTATATTAAATTTAGAGCCCAAATTCTCTAAAATTCAATAAAGCATTAGGTTATGTACAATATTTTCTTAAATTTTAACATTACCGAGTACTTAAAAGGTGTATATATTAGTCAATTATTATTTATTATGGTTAAAGCCCCCGTAGAACAACATTACTAAACAATCTATTCGTCATCGGCTGTCATGGAGTTGTTAAAAAACTGTCAACATAAATAAACAAGTTACAATTGAGATGAAAAATGCATTTCTCTGATATTTTAAACTAAAAAAATAAAAAAATAAATAGTTGTTTTAAATTAGCTTAATTATACTTTAAATCAACTAATATTCCTCAAATAAAGTTTAAAAAAATATATATTTTATTTTTGGAAGATTTTATTATAAAGAGATTTACATTTTTATAACACTTTGCTAAGAATGGCGCCAAAATCAAAACTTAAGAAATTTCAAAAAACAATTTCTTCGAACGAAATTAAATTAGTTTTTAAATTCAGCATAGTATTTTGTTTCTTGGAAATAATAAATTTAATCTCTTAGCTTGAAATTAAAACTAAAATAAAAGCTACAAGAAAGATTTTTCATTATTAAAAATTCATTTTAAACCTAAGGTATCGCGTTTTCGTGGAGGTTCCTAAATACACCCCCCCCACACCAAAAAAAATCGAGTCAAAATAGTAATAATTACATTTTTCATCCGCAACCAAATGTGATTTCCCATAATCCCAATCGAATAATTCAATTTCATAAAATGTTGGGAAAGTTAGTGAAGGAAAACATTAAAATAACTTTAATGTGTTTTTTTTTCTTTTGCAGTGAATTATGGCAAATGGTTCGATTACATGTTAGAATGGGAAAAGGTTTTCAAAAAGTATCCTGAATTGCCCGTGCTGTTAATTAAATATGAAGATATCAAAAAGGTAACTGATAATTACTATTTTTCTTCTTCACTTATATATGTTGCTCTCTATAGGTAAAACGTCTATTCACTCTTTGCCTTCCTGTATTTTCTAACCATCAATAAATGTCTATCGTGTTTGATGGTCATGCTTAGTTATATGGATCGTGTGCACATCATCATCATCATCAATCCTATGGTCGTATGTGGTCGTAAGGTTGTTGCGCAATTGAACACCTGATTATTGACTAATAATATCTTGGCTGAAAGCCAGAGACGTATTCATTCATGCATCGCGTATCTTTGACAAGTAAACCTGGTTTGAGCCAATCCCTATTCAGATTAAATGTCCTCCAATATGAAGGTTCGCACTTCGTCACGGAGACGTGAGCTTTGATTCCATCTGGGTAACACTCCCCACCGACTTGGCCGTTGACTTCAGTCTAGAGAGCCCTCCACCCAGCAATGATGAGTCTTGTTTTCAGTCCTTTTGGGTGTCTAGCAACTCTTTGCACCAGTCTTGTGAGGGAACGAATTCAGTCGTCATTGAACCGTTGTACCAATAGCATGTTTCAAGACCAGGAATAACATGCTTCAAGACCAGGTAATGATGGCATGTGTGCATTGCCATGTTACGAATAGGGAACAGCATTAACTCCTGATTCGCCTGCAATTCCTTGATATAACAATAATAAATATTCTGACCTTTATTAAATTCATCGAAGAAAGACGATTGTTTCATTGTATCGTAAGTATTTCGATAAATTTCATTTAGAATTCTTCTCAAGTTTTTAGAGATTAATTTGATGAGAGATTTGAAAAAAATACACTGAGATTCGTTAAAATGATTTCTGCCATTAAAACGATTCTTGTCATTTTAGTTTTGATCAGAATTTATCTTTGTGGGGTGGGGGAAGTAGTAGAAATTCGTGAAGAATATTTTGGAATCTTTCCTTCCCTTGATATCTTTTAATGCCCCCCCCTCCACCTCGGAAAATGATTTTTGCAAAAGAAATTCACAAATGATAGATGCGATATTGATAGCCACATTCGCTGTTGACTATTTTTTTGTTATCTTGATTTCAAGAGAGATAAACATTTTATTTCGTTTTCTTGACAAGTAGAATGTAAAAATGTCATTTTAATCTTTTCTTTTACTTATATTTTACTTATATATTTTAGTCATATTGTACGAAAACAAAATTTCCAAGGAAAGTCTTCGAATAAACGCATACCGCTTAAATGTTGCACATTAGTTGCGTGTTCAAACAACTATTGGTAACAGATAGCGATTGAATGCAGCTGTTTAGTGCTGCAACAAAGTACGTTGATGTGGTTTATCGTCGAGTAGACGCAATTAACTGTAAACTTTACAAAAACTCTAGGCTCCGACAGAGGCAATACGCATTTGGTAGATCCGCCCTCCTCCACCTCCTCCTCATTGTTTGCAGTCAAGAACAAAATGTATCAATTACTGAATGGTACTACACACGATGTCACTCTCAACAATTTATCGAGAGAAGAATATCTCAACTGCAAGCAAGTGTGCATGGCTCCATCTGATAAAAACAATGCTGCGAGACTTTGTGGAAATTTCACTACAGGTTCTACTTTTTCGGTCAGTGGACCAAACAACACAGCCGATTGAATAACGTTCTTGTTCTCCGGACTTAAACAATTTAAATCACTGGCTGGACAATCTGCATGTTGGATGGATAGCCATTTTGCCCCCTTTACCTAAAAGTCAAAATTTACAGTGTCCAAAATTTACAATGCTTAACAGTTTTCCTCCGAATACAGGTGGAAAAGATCTCTGAAGCAAAAGAATTTTGTTTATCTGGGTTTTAAGGGCATTGGAATTATAAGTTCTATAAGGACCCAAACGAACAGGTTCAACCCTTAATTTCACCAGAGTTTTAATAATGTCGTTATAACTCTGCGGGAGGTAGTTTAATGTACGATAATTGGAATTATATTGCTGCATAAGTTCTCTTCGCAATTCTTCAGTTAGTTTTGAAAATACAATGTGACTAATCAATATGTACCCAGCAGCATCTTCCTCAAGAAAATCCAGTGAAAAATTGTTCCTTAATTCCCATAAGTTGGCTTTTATTCTGTTTAAGAACATTTTAACACTTTTGAATCTTGAGTTACGTGACGGCTTATACTCCAAAATCTGTTGCAATGTCACATCCAATATGAAACCCTCATCCAATATTCCTTGTTGAGTAAGGATAATGCGACTTCATAATTCTGGTCACAGATTGACAGATGTTGAATGATTAGAAGCGCATAATCTGTTAAACAGCTCTTAAGGTACTGGAATCTGGTTACTTTAGATCCTACACAGGCTATGTAATTTTCAAAATGTGTCAAGAAATTCTCGATGGCAAATTTTTCTTCCGTAGCTCTAACACTAAAGGAGGGTGCCCTCGTCAAAGGTTTAAAGGGGCGGGTTGTACGGTATCAAAATGCGGAAATCATCAAGCATTATATATATATATATATATATATATATATATATATATATATATATATATATATACAGACACTGTTTCGCTGTATCACATCTCCTCAGTGTGGCTAGACATCTGATCGCTTCAAGCAGGGACCGAACCCGACCGATTTGGTATCATTCCAAAGTGAGTAATACACTTGGCTATCGACGCTCGGCTGAGAGAAAGGCGAATTTTTGCATGTTTATTTTTTTATAAACACGTCAGTGACCTAGAGGGCTCAATCAGTTAGGAGAGTATATATATATATATATATATATATATATATATATATATATATATATATATATATATATATATATATATATATATATAAATGAATGAAAAGAAAATAGGAAAACTATACTTAGTTTAGCTGACGCGTTTTGTCATTCGACGGACATTTACAAGGCAAATTGTGATGGTTTTATTTTGCAACAAGTATATATTTGACAGCTACTCAAAATTTCTAAATTTAGGAACCCTCGTGATTATTCAGTAATTTAATTGAAAAGGTTTAGGTGTTAAATCATAGATTACGTCATATAGCATCTTTGAAAAGAAATTTTTAAATTTAAAGACGCTCAATAACAAGTTAACTGAAATTTTTTCATATTTTTACTTTTTTCTTTTTTAATTTTTAATTTTTTCTTTTTTTCGTCTTCTTTAATTTTTTTAAAAGTTAACTGAAATGTCCAGGTATTTAGATTTTACAATACGTCATTTAGTATACTTGAAAATGTAAAAAACATTAAAAATAAAAGAAAAATGAAAAAGTTTCTTAGATTGAAATATGAAATAGACGTTTGTATTATCCATCTCCAAAAGTTGAATTTATGCATTCAACCGTATTCCTTTGGTTTTTCAACACATTTGTTGTGTATGTTGGCTTGGGAAAGTAGTAATTCCTACAGAAAAGTTAAGATTGGGGAAAATCGGGGCGTAGATTGATATTTTGAGGGCGGCACTCATGAAGATTTTTTTTTTTCTGAGTACATTTCTCAAACCTCATTAACGAAAAAGAGAGAGTAGTTTATAACTGGTTAAAGTATCTTTACTTTTTTCTTTCTTTCTTTTTTTTGCACAGGATCCTGTCGGTAAAATTGCAGAACTGGCTGAATTTATCGGAGTTGAGAAGAACGAAGAATTTTTTAAAGAAGTAGCCGACAAATGTTCCTTTAACAAAATGAAAATGCATAAATCACGAGGCGGTGATAGTTTTAGAACTCCAGGTGCTTCCCTTTATCGGAAAGGTAGGGTTTGAATTTTATTAGAAAAAATTTATACAATACTTATTTGGGATAATGTTGTAAGTGGACTTTTAAGTATTTGTAACTGGCTATCTGGTGGAACAATGCACAAGATTGTAAACATTACTCTCAATTTTTGAATTCCGGTAATTGAACAATGTAATATGTGCAGACATCTTACTTTTAATATTGGAAGCTGTACTTGTCAAACTTGTGTGCCAATTCATACATCTAGGAAGATAAAAACTAACGCTCAAAAATCAACTGAGATTGTCGCACGCCCTCGTCTTGTGGGCTCTCCTGTATGCATGCTTTAATAACAGGATTCCAAAGGCGCATCCAAGATGCAGGGATGAGATACTTCAGACGTCTGCTTGGTATTTCCTACACCGACCCGGTGTCACGAATGAGTGGATCATTAGAAAATGGTTATAAAGTCGCGTTGACCGCCAGAAAGGAGAGGAAGCTGAAGTCTTATATGGCCACGTAACCAGATCGTGTGGACTCGCAAAGACCATTTTGCAGGAGAAATGGTACAAGGCTGAAGACGGATGTGCTAAAGAAAGAGATGGCCAAGTACGTCGTCGTCGAAAGGATCAGCGAACATTTTGTTTTAGGAGCTGGACGATGGACAGATCAAATGGAGTTTTCTTGTTGAGCAAGCTATCATGCAACAACCATAACCCCCACACCCACACTCCCGTTGTGTTATGACCAAGAAGAAAAAGACTAATATTATCACGGTTGTACATGACAATTATAAGAGATTACTGTATATTATTTAATGTATATACAGTGCTGTTCAATAAAAGTGACTCACCTGATTTTTTTTTTACTAAATGTTCTCTTCTCCGATGAAACGAAAGTTGAGCTAAATTCAAAGGATAAGCGATGTAAAATCCGAAGAAGAAGCTTTGAAAGCTCTTTGAATTTAGCGGTAAGTACTGTCAAGCATCCGTTCATTATAATGTTCTGTGGATGCTTTTCTTTTCATGGAACTGGTTTCTTAAAACCTATTGAAAAGACCCTCAGGAGCGAGCAGTACAAGACAATTTTAGAGTCTTGTCTGCTCCCTTCTGCTGAAAGGGTGCAAATCGACCCCACCAAGCTCATTTTTATGCAGGATAATGCTCCCTGCGACAAATCAAAATTGATGAAGGAATACTTTGATGAGAAGCAGGCGAGTGTTATGATATAGCCGCCCTAATCTCCTGACCTAAACCCCATAGAAAACTTATGGAGCATTATAAAGTACAGGCTCTCGAGAAAGTAGTTGAGCAACAAAGAGGATTTGATTGTGAATTTCATATCCGAATGGAATTCAATGCTTGGCGATGAGATTTGCCAGAACCTAATCAAGTCAATGCCAAAAAGGGTTGAAAAGGTTATTCAAAATAAAAGAGGACCCATAGATTATTAAATATTTCGAACTATATTACCTATTATAAATAAATTATACCTCTATTATTCTTTATTTAAAGCTGTTCGGTTATGTTTCTATTGATTACTAGTTGTAGGAAATAGGTGAGTCACGTTTTTTGCCAAGAGTTTTTCCTTAAATCTCATTTATATCCAAAATTATAATTATCAATAGAAGGGTGAGTAAACTTTTTACAAGGTGGTCGGTAAGGGGTCTTTATATTAGTAAGATTAAAAATTAGTTTGACCCCCAAAACAATAGGCGTACAATACCCTCGGGAATGGTATGATTCCAACTCTTTCCTTCAGCTATTGGTTGAATATCAGGACAGACTGGATTTGGTTGGCAACGAGTCTACCACAGAAAGAAATGGAAACCTATCGCGGAAAAAATCTTCTGCCTCGTCAGTCATGTATCGAAAGATACACGATCGCCCAAACGTCTATCCCGTGTGGCACTTAACTTACTCATTGTTCATTAATATCAGGCATAATTTTTATGACAATTTCTTTTCTTTTTTTCGGAGAAAACATTACACTGCAAAAGTTTTAAACAGATTCGCTTAATTTTAAAATTTCTTTTGTACAATTTTTTCAACTTTAAAAATTATAAGGAATTTAATTATTGCTTTTATGTTGAATTATTTTCTTTTCGAACTAGCATGCTTAACTTAACTCATAACATTTCGGTTGTCTGGCCTTCTTTGAGTGTCTGTCATTGTACTCGTTAACCTTGTCGTGATTTTGAACCGTAAATTTTATTTAATACATGAAGGCAGATTTTTTGAACCCTGCTTTGACTGACACACAGCCTAGTCGTTTAAAACATATCCAATTCCCTAGCAATTGTGAGTTCAATCCCTGTGTCTGGTAGTGATAAAAAATAATATAATCTGATTCAGTGGAAAAATGAACAAGCGACACAAAGGTGAATAAAACTGGGGATTATTTAACTCATATGAAATATCTCCTAAGCATGATTCGCTGGCAGTATATAACATATTCTGGTCCATTAAAATAAACAGACAAGCGACACAAAGGTGAATAAAACTGGTGAATTTTAACTGATATGAAATACCCACTAAGCATGGACCCCTGGCAGTTGTGAGTTCAATCTCCGGTTCTGGTAGTGTTGAAAATCAAATACTCTGGTCCATGAAAATAAACATCTGGTCCATTAAAATAAGCAGAAAAGTGACACAAAGGTGAATAAAACTGGTGAATTTTAACTGATATATGAATTATCCCCCAAGCATGGTTCCCTGACAGCTGTCAGAACTGTCCCTTAAAATATATCATCTAAATATGGTAAGCGAAATGAGAAAAATCTACCGCGTGAATTGAATAAAGGGCCTGTTTCAAAATTTTGAGATGGTTACTGAGCATAATGACTGACATCTGAAGCAATTCGGAGGCTATAAAGGCCGAAACGTTATGATTGATTTATAACAATCAACAGGACCATGCTGGGTCTAACAGTAAGCTATATAATATTAATTATTGTGTATCTGTTATTTTCTTATTCACGATTTTTAATGCGTCATATCTTAACTAATTAGAGGTTCTTTGATTTGTTTGTCAGGTGTCGTCGGTGATTGGAAAAACTGGTTCACGGTGCGGCAAAATGAATTGTTTGAAGAAGAATACAAAAAATTTAAAGAAAAGACTGAAATGTTCAATATATTTGACTAAACAGTCAAATACGACGAAGAGTATTTTTCATAGTAAATACATTATTTTAAAAATAAACATAAGATAAATCTATTCAATCAAAAAGATGAGTTCAAATCTTTTCATAGTATCAATGTCATAAATATTTAATTATTTGGTGGTCTTTGACTCAACATCGATGTCAATAGACGTAGAGATACAGAATACATTAAAAACGAATGGAAAAGAACCAGATTTTCTAGTAAGGTTCAAGTTCGAATGATTCTATTAATTTATATATATTTTACGTAAATAAACTCAGAAAAAAAAATTCAAAGTTTATTTTATTTTCAAGTTTGCTTTTTTCAGTTACTTCTAAAAGTTGAAATGGTTGAATCGATCTTTTTGTCTAAATCGGATAATTGGAAACTCGAGTGTGTCACAATATTATTATACCTATGTGAGGACCAAAACGACGCATCAAAGATATCCCTGACAGGGGCCAACATCGACTCTGAAACCTGGGGACACCTGGGGAAACCTTTGTTGCAAAACAGCCTTCCTGGCGTAGGACCATCCAAGTGGGGACCGAAACTTTCGAGTCCAACCGTCAACATAAAGAGGATATGCTCCGTGCTGTCAGGAGGGCCTAACTCGCCCAGCCGCCTCCACAATACACACTGCTCCGTGACTCCTATTCACGACTCTTCAGATGCGAACAGGTGCCGACTATAACTATGCCTATTTGAAAAAATATATATGTTGGGACATGGAAAGTAATCAGAAGACTTCCAAAAAGTTCAGATATTGTTTTATTTGATTGGATGAAAAATCTCATGACATGGAAGTTTAACGTAAATCCTAACGTTACCATTTTATTAATGTGTGTTATATAGGAATAAATTGTCGCTGCCGATACTTGAGTTTGAACAAAGATCGAAAGTGAACAAATACAGGCGATCCCATTATTGAATTAAGTAGACCACGTGACCATAGAGGAAACGCACATATAGGAAGTCGCGTGACGTCTGATTGATCTGCATCTCTAGTTTATCCTCTATTACTACTTGGATCACCATTCTATTCTATCGTCTATTACTATATGGACCGCTATTCTCTACTCTATTCACTATACTATTTCTCGATTCGGATCACTACACGGGTTACTATTCGAGCGAGTATTATTGAGCGCTATTCGAAGGCGTCTGAAACCAGTATTGTTCAACGGCGTTAGTATAGTTGTATCTGCGATTACAAAGTCTCTACTACAACGAGCATTACGAAAGTGACAACGAGTATTCGTTGACATTACAAAAGTGGCAACGAGTGTTCGTTGACATCACAAAAAAGGTGGAACATATTAGAATTTCAAAACAATTTCAAAACAGATTTTAGCAATAATTATTAAAAACTTCAAACCCTGGAACTCATCAGTAGCAAATAATATTTTTGTCTGTTGTCATGGTTTTTTCAAAACTTTTTAATCGTTATGTAAAGTATCCTTTTAAATTATTTCCGGTTTCGGTTTAAATAGATTGATATGAGACGCACGTAATATATGCCACATCTAATAAGTTATCTACAAATGGTAAAAGATTACATTTTTATCAGCGTAAAAAATACTTCAGATAATTTCTCGACTGGTTATTTTTTATCATTGAGAGATCAGCTGTAATTAACGAATGTTTTTCGAATGTTTCATAAGATTAGCCAAACGAATGAAAGGACTTGAGGCTTGACGTCACCAATGGTATTTCACAGTACGGTGTATATTTTACAATTGAATCTGCTCGCCCGCCCTCCCCCCAGCCCAAATAAAAGCAAAATTGGTCATTTGCCAACTGTAGAATCATTTTTATTCATAAACTAGATGACATAATTTTTAGCATTGTATCAAACAAAACGTAACGTTCCAAAAAGTAGTAGTGGGAAAAGCATGTCAAAAAAACATGTAAAAAAAGAGTAAAAATAATAGAAGTTCGAATAATAAAAAAGGAAAAAGCCAACACTCAATAACATTAACTACGAATACAGCCATAATGTACTGACCGTGTTTCGGCTATTCTTTAAGTCATTAACAAGGAGTATTCTTATTTTTAACTTGCCTACAAGCCGCCTTCGGCTAGCACTTGCGAAACGCGTTGGGGCCCTTGACATTTTACCTTCAACGTCCTATGTACGTAAAAATAGAAATAATAAAATTATTTTATCTTTATTCGACACCTTAATTCGGCATAATCTTTCTTCGTATACGCAACCGATCTGCGTAGTTTATTTACATTTATTTTGAGCGCAATTTTTATTTTCTTTTAAAATCACCATTCTTTATGATCCCTTCCTATTCCTATAATTTCAGATGAATGCATAAAAACACACACACACATTCAGTTAAAAATCTACAATAACATTTATTTAGGCAAAAATGCAACAGAAGCAAACATTAGCAGAGTAACAACAAAGAAATATAAAAAGATGCCTCCAGATACATTAAACCATAAAAGAAGTACAAATATCCCATCTCACACTTAAAACTACTGTCCAACCAAAAATGCAATTTGTCGAAAGTGTTCAAGAAAAAAAAAACATTATACAAAAACGTGTAGTGCTGGCAGGTTTAAAATTCAAGAAATGAGGGAGGAAGAACCATACTACGTCCTTGGGACTGTTACTATTAACAATAGAATTAAAGTGGTCACGAAAGAAGCCTGGTAAGGTGAAGTTAATACAAATCTATGTAGTAAAGTAATTACTTTCAAATTAGATACTGGAGCAGATATAACGGTAGCCCCCAGTAGTTATTTTAGAAAAAAAAATCTCCAATTATTCAAAAATCTAATAAACAACTGTATGGACCAGATTACCACCAGATGAAAGTTATCGGTCGTGTGGAGGCTTTATTAGAGACGCCAAAAGCAAAGTCTAAACAGGATTTGTTTGTTATTGAAAATTTGAGGGAACCAATATTGAGGGCACCAGCAATAGAAACTCTTAACCAACTGAGGAGGGTGGATTTCTGAAAAGTGAAGACACACAAATATAGAAAAGAATTTCTAGATCTTTTCACAGACATTGGTAGAGTCCAGAATATATATAGAATATGTTTAGAAGAGTCTGCGTAACTAATGTCTATAGCAACTCCTCGACACTATGAAGAAAAAAATCCATGAAGAGTTATAGAGTTTAGAAAAAGAAAATATTATACGTCCAGTAAAAACACCAAAATCTTCACCAGTAGTCGTAAAACTTGCTTCACCAAAGTTTGTTCTAAGTAAGACGGTGAAATTCAACGATGAAATACCTTTCACATAAGGCGAATGACTGAATAGTCATCATCGACAAAACTTACTAACCCACAAACTTCCAATACACTGCAGCGTCACTGAAACCCTCTTTTCGGATGTCAGTTACTCAGAGTCCAGGTGAATTGTCAGGGGATCAACACAAAACCCAAATAACTGAAATTGAAAAGTCGATTGCCAATGACTTCAGCCCGTCAGTTTACAGCAGATATGGTCGCAAGGTTCGACCTTTTACTAGACTTATATATTGAAAAGACTTTTAAAAAAGATGTAGAGTAATCCATGGTTACCTTCCTTGTCAAGAAATGGTATCTGCCTTCGCTATAAAAACTGAGTATGAATAAGGATGGGTGATTTTAAATTCTACGCGTTAACGACTTTGAACGTCAAAACAAACAGTTAAAGACTTCATCTTCTCTTCTTTTTCCCTCCAGTAATTTAATACACTTAAATTACGCGGCAACAGGTTGTAACTACACACGATTAAAAATTAAATAACTCATTTAAATTTAGGTATCGAACAGTGTAAAAGGCTTAAAAATAATTCTTTATTAAAAGATTAATTTTAATTTCGCGACTGCAATTGATATCGTTTAATTAAACCGTAATTAAAACTTAATCAGGGCATGTTACGTTGCTTATATGTCTTATTTTCTTTTTTTTTTAATACGTGTACTGTGATGTATTCGAAATATTACATAGTTTGGGTACCCTAATATCTTTTAAGAGTGACTTTATGCGAAGGGATCATAAAGAATGGCGATTTAAAAAAAAATTGCCCGCAAAATAAATGTAAATAAACTACGCAGATCGGTTGCGTATACGAAGAAAGATTATGCCGAATTAAGGTGTCGAATAAAGATAAAATAATTTTATTATTTCTAAATTCTTGTAACTTTTACGTACATGGGACGTTGAAGGTAAAAGGTCAAGGGCCCCAACGCGTTCCGCAAGTGCTAGCCGAAGGGTGGCATCTAGGCAAGTTAAAAATAAGAATACTCCTTGATAATGACTTAAAGGATAGCCGAAAGCGCTTGGATATGCAGAACTTTTGGACTGTTTTTACACATTTTGTGTCAGAAAAGAAAACACTTGAACGAATACAATAAAAATTAAATAAAAAGCTTAATCGCAGTAACTTGTCAGTCGTCTTTATCGAAACATGTATAAAAAAAGGGATTGCTGCATAAATACGTAATACATATATACGTTAAGAAATTTTGGGGGATTAGAGTAATAACATATAGTAATTCATCGAGCCCAGAATAATCCTCAACAGAATACACTGGACGGCCGTTTCGTCCCGATTCATCAGCAGTGCGCGTCACACTACCAAGTATCGAACCCAAACCATTCCAATACAACGCAAACGTCATACCAACTGTACCACGAACGTCGGCGACAAATAAGACACAAACTAGAGTCGATATAGCGCCGTTACTCACTCAGTTCTGCAGTGATACTTATCCAAGTATACGGATAACCTCGGAACAGTGCTCCAAGAGCCACGTCTTTTTTATATATATATATATATATGGACAAAGTCCGGCAATTTATTAAAGACATTTTTATGTTTAACATTCTTTTTATAGATGCAAGTATTTAAGTAAATGCTCTGTTTATAATAAACAGTATTAAATAACATTTACCGGCCTGAATGTCCGAGAAATTTTCATAGAATATATTCGTCCCTTGACAGGATTCGAACCTGCATCCTATACGGAACCGTCATTTAGCTTGACG